ATTAAAATTAAATCATATTTCGTAGAAATTTTCGACGAAGGTCCAAAGAAAGACGATCTTTTGGCGATAAAGCTCGCAAAGCAGTGGTACTCGGTCTGCATGGATACAGGTAAATGTGGATGTAGCTTTCAAGTGATTGAACCGTTGAAAAATTCAAATACTATTTTCAAATATAATTGTGTCCACGACATGATTCACAAAATGCTTTCAGATGCAATGGATAGTCGAGGGCTTGAACCGCTTGTCTTTACCTTATCGAGGATCGGCGGCTGGCCGATGATAATGGAACCTGATGAATGGAACGAGGAGGAATACAGTTGGCAAAAAGTGGATGATCAATATGTGCGCTTGATAGGAAAGAATGTTTTTCACGACGTGCGAGTGAACGAAAATTGCACTTTAAACGAATGCCAGAAAACAGTGCATGTACTTATTACACAAGCATTCAATTAAGATTATAATTATGCATTAACATTACACTCTCAAATCTCTAAATCCAAAAACATGCTTGCGATGTATATTTTTATAATCTCTATGATTACATTATGTATCATTATAGAGCGTTTTATATCTGTGTTATTCTTTCCATTACATATGGGCATAAATTTGTATTTAAAACACTTTGATTTTTCACTAATGATTTTTATTAATGTAAGTTCTTGTTGCCAGGTATCTATTCCCCATTTACCTCCGGCTTCGTCCAAATTATGGAATGTCGATAACGAAAAGGAAGTAGACGGAAGCGACGAGGATACCAGTGACGAAGAGAAGCAAAGCAACGAACAAAATGATAGTCAAGAACCTGGAAGCGAAGACCAAGATGATAACAAAAATGATAGTACTAATAATAATGGTAATGAAGATGATAATAATGGTGATGAAGAGAATGATGATGAAGAGAATGACGATGAAGAGAATGACGATGAAGACAATGACGATGAAGAAAATGACGATGAAGATAATAACGACAATAATGATAATAAAAATGATGATGAAAAGGATGACAATAATGATACAAACAAACAGGATGACAATAACAATAATGGCACACATGATGACGATGAAGAAAACAAGGAAAAAAGAATCAATGTGAACAAAGCCAGTAAATTCGCGAAAAATAAAAAATTAGAGCATAGTAGAAAAATTAAGAGTAACATCAACTCCAAAAAGCACAAGAATCATAATATGAAGAAAGATAGGATAAAAAGACAGGTGATATTGAATGTTCACAAAAAATTACACAAAAAGAATAAAAGAACGCGAAAGATTGAAAAGAATCACGTGAAGCAAACACATAAGGAAAGAGTAAAGAAAACTTTAAAGGCATCGCAGATTAGCACCGAAGAAACGATTGATGACAAATACGATATGATGAAATTATATGCTAATTACATCTCGAAAGTAGCTCGCGCCTTAGCCGAAGCAAGAGGCATTGAAGTCTCAGAGGAACATTTGTATAAAGATATCCAAGACATGATCAAATTTCATATAAAACTAATTAAAGTGAGTGTTACATTATTTTGCTGGACAACGAAGCGATAAGAATATGTTCATAAAAACCAAATAATAATATATTTCAGATTACTGCAGGAGGAAGGGAAGAAAAGGAATTAACGCTTAATGACTTCCAGGAATGGTATGAAAGAAAGACACCCAAAACTTCCAACAGCGCAGTAAGTTATTTTCTAATTAATTACTTTAACCTGTAATTTTCTCCAATTAAACGAGCATAATTAACGCAACATAGATTGACTGGCTGTACAAAATTGGGGAGTTATTTGATGAAGCTCACGTGTCTGTGAATGGTGATATAAATATAAAAATTATTAACCCAGATTACTTCAGTAATCTTATATCTTTGCTAGATGATACATCGAGTCGAACAATCGGTAAATTAAAAAAAAAATGTGATAATATAAGCAAATGTTGTTGATAAATGTGCTTACATAAGTTATGTTTCAGTGAATTATATACATTGGAACTTTTTAAGCAATATAATAAGCACTACTACACTTGAAATGAGAAAATTATATGATGCATGGGAAGAAAAACAGAAGAATGATGATAATCAGATTCTTGGAATTTCAGCAAGGTACAATGCAAGCTCTTATATTAAAAATAGTTTTTTATATAATTATTAACGTCATTGTTTGCTCTTCAATTCGTTTTTTATGTTGCATATTCCACGCGTAAATCAAAATCGAATTATAATTTTAGAATATTTTATACTAGTATCAACTGATGATGAATTATTACCACAGATTTTTCAAATGCACAAGCAAAGTAGAGATGAGCGACATGCTAGCATACGAGTATGTGAGAAAACATTTCTCTGATGAGATCACGACAGCTGTAAGTACTTCGTGTAGAGTAGTTAAGTCTTATTTTGTCTATAGAAGTCTCCTGACTATCATAAAAATTTGATCAATTGAATTATCTCTACAGGCATCGGACATGCTGGATGATATACAAAAGGAAGTTGAATATCAAATTAAAGACTCAGACTGGGTAGATGAGGATACTAAGGATTTTGTTTTAGCAAAATTAGTGCATATGGAGAAATTTATCGGATATCCAAATTGGTATAGAAATAATACTATTGTTAAACGATATTTTCAAGGTGTAAGTTTCTCACAATTTATTAATTATCACTGCATAGTGATTATTTGATTTAATTGTTCTATTCCATTAAAGCTCATTATTGGCAATTCGTATTACGAAAATATATTGAGCTATAAAAGATACAGCAAGTGGAAAGAGCTACGAAAGTTGTTGAAGGAAGATGAAGATGATGAAATGTAAGATAACTCATTCGTATTTTATTATAGTCTTATTTTTTAATATGTAAAATAAATTCATATAATATATTCCATGTTACAGAATGAGGATGGATCCTACAATGGTAAATGCCTTTTTTTCACTGGATCTTAATTCCGTAGGTTTGTATCTATAGCCACATCTTTTTTTTGTTAATAGAACTTAAATCCATGAATTTGCATTTTTTGTATTGTCATTGATATTAATATTTATTTCGCTTATAGCCCTCACGGCAGCAGATTTTCAGAGTCCATTGTTTGCTTTCGGTCGACCACAGTAAGTGAACAATTTTTATTAAAAATGTCAATGTGATTAGCGCATAATTATAAAAAGCCATAAATACAAATAAATTTAGGATTATAATCTCTAAATATTTTGTAATTTTTTTCTAAATACTCTTTATTCCAGAGCTATTAATTATGGTATTGTTGGAACAATTATGGGTCACGAAGTTAATCACGGATTTGACGATTCTGGTAACATTATAAAATGTTTTCTATATCAGACTGTTTAGTTTAGTAAACTATATTCTATGATATTTAATTAATTAATGCAATAATACAATATTTATCATTTTACTCCAAAAAATATTTCAAACGTTTTTTAAGTATTTAAAAAGATAAAAAGTCAAAAAAATAACTTTTAGGTCACTTATATAATAAGGAAGGAGAAATTGTGGAATGGTTATCTGCAATGGCCGAAGCATATGGTAAAAGAGCAGAATGTTTTGTGGAACAGTTTAATAATTATGGCATCAATGAGATATCGGAGGCAATAAAGGTCATCTACATTTCATCATCTGCATTTTATTACTATCTAATTTACATTATTCTTATTTTTCTCATCGGGCATTTTAAACATTTGATTGCACTCACTGTTAAAAATTGTAGGACTATGGCAATCAAACGGTGGGAGAGAATATCGCGGACACAATGGGATTAGAGGTAGCATTTAGAGCATATCAAAGAAGAGAAAGAGAATGCGGAAAACCGAATACCGTATTACTAGGCCAGGAAAACCTCACTAACGATCAACTTTTCTTCTTATCTTTTGCTAACGTAAGTAATGTATCACAGATATATAAATTCAAAACTGTAATAATTAAATTATAAAAATAATAAATTTTAAAGTAAACATTCATGTGCTTAAATGTATGAAATTGGGATAACGTTTGCAGTTGTGGTGTGAAGATCCGGCAATGAGTGCTATTAAAGTTAAAACTCGTGACGTACATAGCATCGGACGATTGAGAGTGATAGGAACTGTTTCAAATTCGCACGACTTCGCCCAAGCTTATAATTGCCCGGTCGGCAGTGCAATGAATCCCGAAAAGAAATGTCATATCTGGAAGTGAATTACTTCTACGAATGTAACAAATTAAATTAACCAATGCTTCACAAAAATGTAAAATAGTTGATAAAAATTTTCTGTCTATAAATATATATATATATCTCATTGAATAAAATAAAGTAAGTAAAGAAATTGTTTCATTT